GGGGGATACTTGATCATCCGGGCGCCCGCTCCGAGGGCCGGAGGGGCGCCGGGCGGCGGCCCGCTCCCTCCTGGCGACGGGGCGCTGGACTGGACGTCGGGAGCAAGCCTTGGAGCGGTGAGCCTGTTGGACGCCCGAGTGGTCTGGGATGGCTGGGGAGGAGGGGGAGGAGGGGGAGGAGGGGAAGGAGGAGGAGGAGGAGGAGGAGGAGGAGGAGGAGGAGGAGGAGGAGGACGAGGAGGAGGAGGAGGAGCAGGAGGGGGAGGCGGAGGGGGAAGAGGAGAGTGGAGAGAAGGCGAGGAGGGAAGGGGGGGGGACGGGGGTCCTCCTCCTCTTCCTCCACCTCCTTCCCCCCTCCAACTTCTGGTGGTGGTGGTGGAAAACAGGCCCACCAGTGCAGGGTGAGGTTCCCCCCCGTCGCGGGCCGACGCCGTTATGGGTGGCCTCCCGGGGGGGGGGGGGCGCTCCTCGTCGCCCCGAACTTCTGGCCAGAAGGACCCCTGGAGGAGGGTGCGAGAACCGAACTTACCAGACGGCCGATGCCTGATGCTCGGGGACGTTGGGGCCCTTCGGTGCTCTCGACCCTCTCTCTCCGGGGCCAGCTTCTGCAGTCAAGGATGCAAGGGCCTTGGAAGGCCAAGTCGACGCTTTGTGAGCGGGACGCCGCCAGCGAGATCGGCCAAGGATAAGCCGAAGGGGAAGGATGCAAAGGCAACCCTGGAGAGTCGCTCATCCTTACTGTGCGGGTCGACTGTAATCCCGAATCAACTTCTGAGGGTCCTGGGGACCAGAACCCGGGGCTAGGACGACGAAGAGGACGAGGAAAAGGAGGAGGAAGAGGTCCTCCTCCTCCTCCTCCTCCTCCTCCTCCTCCTCCTCCTCCTCCTCCTCCTCCTCCCGCTCCTCCTCCTCCTCCTCCTCCTCCTCCTCCTCCTCCTCCTCCTCCTCCCTCCTCCTCCTCCTCCCCTCCTCCTCCTCCCCCTCCCCTCCTCCCCTCCTCCTCTCCTCCCCTCCTCACTCCTCCCCTCCTCCTCCTCCTCCTCCTCCCCTTCCTCCTCCTCCTCCTCCTCCTCCTCCTCCTCCCCCCCTCCTCCTCCTCCTCCTCCTCCTCTTCCTCCTCTCCCTCCTCCTCCTCCTCTCCTCCTCCTCCTCCTCCTCTCCTCGTCCCTCCTCCTCCTCCTCCTCCCCCTCCTCCCCCTCCTCCTCCTCCTCCTCCTCCTCCTCCCTCCTCCTCCTCCTCCTCCTCCTCCTCCTCCTCCTCCTCCTCCTCCTCCTCTGCCTCTCCAGGTGCCACGTGGCGACAGACCGAAGCGTTGACTTCGTCGAGGCGCTGTCGTCAGGGCTACGATTTCCGAGGGTCCAAGTCTTCTCAGCGTGGCGTCCCGGGGGGCTGCTCGTCGCCACGGCTGGCTTCGCCTCGACGTTTTGGTCGGAACGCACCTCGGGAGAGGCCACAACCCAAGCCTCGTCGGGCCGTGCAACAGTGTAAAAAACACACACAACAATCATTTTTTCCGAACTTCGGCCTCAGGGCCCCCGGGGCGCCAAGAGACGACTCGGGATGAAGAGCATGTCATGAGGAAGGGATCTAGACAGCTGGACTTACGTCGGGCATGTCCTCCTGCAAGCGGAGTTTAGACGGAAAACAAATGTCAAACAATAATCAAGCATGGAACGCATAACAGAACAACCAAACAAAAACTCCCCAGACAGATCTCGGGGAGCCCACGTTTCTGGAAAAAAACGCGGCGTCGGAGGTCCGGGAGGGACAGGAAGGCGGAAACTGCCCATTCCCCCGCCCTGCCGATCCAACCACCGAGGAACATCGGAACACCGCACGGACAACACTCCTTCTGCCCTCGCCCGTCCTCCCATCCGGTATCTCTCCCGCGTGGCCCGTGCTGCCAGGTGGCGGCCCCACCTACCCTGGAGATTCCTTGAGAGAAGGGAGGAGAAGGAGGAACAGGAGGTGCAAGCGGAAACAAAGACGATGTACCTGGACGTGGGTTACCGTCAAACCGGGCTTGCCCCTAACCCACTCCGTCAACAGACTGGCCGCAGGAGCGACGAAGGGGGACAGCTGAGGGGACCAAAAAGGGAAGCGGTTCGGGGCCCCGAGAAAGGCGAGACGTATCCACCGAAGCGCCAAACAAGGCAACGAAACCTCACACAAGGCACAACACAACCCGGCAAGCTTCAAACACGGGCGAGGAGGGGAAACGAGAAGAGGACGACGAGGGGGAAGTGGGAGCAGGGGAGGACAGGCAGGAACAAGATAACCGACCTCGATCCAATCGATCGATCCGCTCGCCTTTAACGGATTGCTAATCACGAGCGCCACGCATTCGGCCGCGGTCCACTCCAGTGCGATCGACAGAGTCGCGATGAAAACGATATTGTAGACAACCGCGCCTCCAAAATTGGCGCCGCCGACGACGACGACACCCTGGTGTTCGTCGAAGATCCCCAGACGACGGTTGGTGGCGTCCCGCCCACCCAGCCCTAATGCAAAAGGACCTGGCCAGGGGATGACAAAACACCTGAGGTCTCTGGGCGCGATCGCACCCACACCAGTGCGAAAGGAAGGGGCCTCAAATGGTCAATGAACTCGTGTGGCGGCGGCGACGAATACGACGACGACGCTAGCCGCGACAGCGACGACAGCGACGGCAACGGCAGCAGCTGCGGCTGGAATACCATGTGGGACCTGCCCTAGAACAGCATACCGTAGACGGATCTGCCCGTTCTCCTACCTTCCCTGCACCGCGCCAAACGCAACAGCCACGTTGTCCGTAGACGCATCCACCCCGAAAGTGCCTATGGCCGTCACGGCACCCAACATGTCCACAGACACTTGTGGCTAGGATTTGGACGCCCGAAATGGGCACGGAAAGAATGGGTACAATGCCCAACAACAAATGTTGTCCCAAACCAACAGCGGCCGATGTTGGGCGGGCGGCCCTCTGTCTCAAATGGACACGGGCCGCGGCGGCGCGGACAGCGAGCCCTGTTCAAAAAGAACAGGGACTGCTGTTGGGCATCGTACCCATTCTTTCCGTGCCCATTTCGGGCGTCCAGATAAGACGTAAGAGCGGTATTTGTCATCGTCCCCGGATGTTGGCTTTCGAGAAGCAGGTCGGCTTGGCCCTCCAAGGCTGCGGCGACAACGGCAGCGGCCGGCGAGCAAGACGACGGCAGCGACGGCGACCACGAATGTTGGGGGGGGGGGAAGCAGATGCCGATGGTGCTAGCCCCTGGACTCCTGCCACCCAGGACTGGAAGAAAATCTGGCCTTGGCGGAGGGGGCTCTCCAGGACGAGCAGCGGCATCTGCATCTCTATCCCCCTCGGACACGTGGCGGCGACGGCGGCGACTGCGGCGGCGCCAACGACGACGACGGCAACAGGACGCGCCGCCTCTGCCTTGGCGGCCCGGGGCGCTTGCGCGCGCGAGGCGCGGGCGCGGGCCCGCGGTTCTGCCAGGGGGGGGGTCCGTCCGCCACCGCTCGCGACCTCGAGCCTTGCCGTCGTGTCTGCGGCGCCCAGGGGGGGTAGCGCACAATGGCCCGACGCATGTGCGCGGGCTGGCGGAGGGAGAGCTCCGACAGAAGAGGAGGGGCCATGAAACCAGCCACGATGTCCACGCACCACGGCTGTGACTGAACTGTGGCTGCTATTGAGGTCGCGGCTGTGGGGTGACAGGCGTCACGTGCTAATCCCCGTTGCCGCGGTGGGCCCTTAACTGTCTCGCTCACTCCCATCCGTCTTCCAATGCATATATCGCGCTGACTATGCACATTCCCCTATCGATGATGAAGCGCAAAAGCCGACAGAAAATTTTGACTCCGCACAGTCTGCGGCTTCGGTGCTTTCGTATACACCTCTCGTCGTGGCTCACGCCTTACGAAGAAGATCGCTCACCCTGGGCAATCGCGCTTCTGGCGCGCGTCTAAACTTATTACAAACAGCATGGCCCACCGAAAAGACGCCCCCAAATGGTAATGTTGCTCATCGCGGGCCTCTGGCTCCCCCGATGGGCCCCCTGGGCCCTCAGAAGATGGCGTAGAATTAGGAGCTGGCGCAGGCCGCGGGCTGCCAAGGGACACGGCGCAAACCGCGAGGCATTCCCAACTTGGGGGCCTCTTGGGGCGGAGAGCTTGGTTTTTCAGTTCGCGTTCCCTCTCTTGGGCCCTCTTGGGGCCTTCTTGGTACCCTCTTGCGCCGTCTTGGGCGGCTCTGGGGCCGTATCGGGGCTCTGTTGGGCCGTCTTAGGGCCCTCTATGGGGCCTCCTGGGCCGTCTTGGAACGGTTTTGGGAGCCTCTTGGGCGGTGCTTCAGCGCCGGGAACACGAAACAGCGAGAATGCAAAAAAACATCGAATAAAATAATGAAGATCAACGATGTTGCCCTCTCGGGGCGCTCTTGGGCGGCATCTTAAAGGTCTCTTGGGGCGTCTTAGGGGCCCCCGGGGCAATTCAAAACACATCGTGCGTCGCCAGAGACCCCTGGACGGGGCCGTCTGGGGCCGCCGGGATTGCTGTCTGAGGGCTCGATTTTAGGCCTCCCAGAGGCGGGCCAGGGCCCCGTTCCCTACATTTGTGGTCGAGGTTCCATCCCTCGGCCCCCGAGTCCAGTGCGCCGTTGTGTATATATATGTGTATATATATATATATATGTATCAAGGGTTGGTGATTTACCTTCTGGCTGAGCCTGACCAATCCCGCCCCCTTCCATCCTCCTCCCCCTCCTCATCCTCCCCCTCTTCCTCCAACCCCACCTCCACCCATTCCGACAGGGCTAACCCTCCATCTGCGGATCCAAGGGGGGGGGCGAGTATTGCCCCATCCAGAGTATCTGAACTGGCGCCTACCGACATCGATACCGAAGAATAACGCCCGGCTGCGGAGCCGAGACGGGCTGCATGCAGCAAGCAGATTTTGTACCCCCACCCGTATGTGAGTGTGTGTGTGTGCCAACCTAGACAATTGCTTTCACCCTCGACTCAAAATTGCTTGGAACTTTCTTCCTTTTTGAGATTCATTCTTGAGGGGGCTTCTGAGCATCCCGCGCGCGGGCCACGGGCGCGGAGGGTACGGGGAAGGCCCCCCCCCTCCCTGTCCCCGACTCCGCTTCTGGAGCCCCGCTTTCCACATTCCCAGGTCCCCCTTCGTCCAACCCGGCTCGCGGGGCCGCCGCCTGCCGCCCCGTCTCCGCGGCGCCGTCGAAAAGCACGAGCGGCTGCGTGTCGAAGGCTGCGGCGCCGGGTGCGGCGCCGGGACCCCCACGCCCAGTGGCGGGGGCCACCGCGGCGGTGGCGGCGGCCAGGGAGGCCGAAGGCCAGCCACGACCGCGGCGCTCGCGGCCACGGCGATCACGGCGGTGACGGCGGCGGCGGCGGCCCCGGCGACGGCGGTACCAGCGACGACCGCTGCGGCGGCGGTTGCGGCAGTCACGGCGGCAGCGGAGGCGGCGGCGGCGGAGGCGACGTCCGCGACGGCGGCGGCCAGTCGGGGGCCAAAGGCGGGCCCGAGGGGAAACCTGGCCTGTCGGCGGCCACTGCGGATGCGGGGCAGAACGGCGAGTCGGGGCGCCCGCCAGCTCGGGGCACGAAGATGAGAGAGCGAGAGAGAGGAAGGGGAGGAGAGGGGGGCCAGAGAAGAGGACGAGAACATCGTGCACCGCCTGACCGACCCCTTCCGTGACGAGCACCCTTCGGTGACGACCCCCCCTCGCCCTCGGGGCTCCCCTTTGGGCCGCCTGCCCACGTCTTGGAGCCAGGCGAGGGGGTCGTCACTGGAGGTGTCGATCTGCTAGGCCGCTCCTGCGTAGGACGTCGTGGTTCGTTTGTCGGGTCGGGCGAAAGGGGGGGATAGCAAAGGGGGGGTTTGAGAATCAGCTCACGTAGCTGATTTTCCCGGCGCCTCCCGGCGCCGGGGGCGGCGATGTATCGAGGAATGGGCCCCTCGGTGGGGCCGAAACCAGCTGCATGCAGCAAATTTCGTAACCCCCCCTTTCCCAATCCCCCCTTTCTTCCGGCCCGAGTTTGGCCCAGGGTATGTTCTAGGATGTCGGAAGCTTCTGGCGGTCCTCGGCCACTCGTGCTCGGCCGCTCGTCTCTGGCCACGCGGGCCAACAAGAGCACTCAGAAATGCTGGAGCGCATCATCACCACTGCTCCTCGCCCCTCTGAGAGAGGAGGCCGCGTCGCCGCCGGCCACGGCACATGCTGGGGCAGCAGGAGCGGAGGGGGGGAGGGGCCAAGGCCTGTTCCAGCACCGCTGCGTTCGAGCCGCATCTCCCTCCACCTCCATCCGCCAGCACCGAGAACATTGACGCCAGAGGCTGTCAGCGGAGCAAGGAAGATGGGCAGGAGAGAGAGGTGGGGCCGCGGAAGCTGGCAGTGGCAGCGGGATAGTGGTTGGAGGTGGGAGGCGGCGTGGGGAGGGAAGAGGGCGAGGGTCCCAGCGCGCTGAAGCATACGGGGCCTCGAGTTACGACGGGCGCGGGGCGTGTCACCTGGGCCTGCCCAGTAAATGTGGAAAAAGCTCCTGGCGACAGGAAGCTCCCGATGCCGCCATTCCCACGACCTCTCCTGGGGAGCCTCTTGGCCAGGACAAGGCCGTGGCCCTCGCCTTCTCTCGCTCCCTTCGCAGCTCTGGGGTGGCGGGGAAAGCGCCCCGGCCCCTCCCCGGGGGATCCGCAGAAACAAAAAACGAGGGGCACGATCTGTTGGCGGCGCGCACCATTGGGCAGGGGAGAAGGAGGACAAGTCTTCTTGGAAAGATGCGGTTTCTTAGAAGGCGCTGGCCTTAGTCTGTAGATGGATGCCAGCGCCTTGTACAAAGCAGGATTGTTTCGAAGAAGTCTTCACCCCTCCCCCTGGCCCACTTCTGCGCGTGGCTGACACGGACCTCTCCCGGGGCCCGCTCTGACCAGGATCCTTGTGCGAATCTATTTGTGGCGACGAAGTGTGGGCAGCGGGTTCGGTATCCTTTCCTTCCCCCTGACGTCCGCCTCCTGGGGACCTCCGAACGCCAGGGGCCCCCGCGGGGGGCCCCACGAGAACGAGAAACCACGAGAATGTCCGAGGGCCTCGAAACAAATCGATGGTCCTGAGAACGTGTGTTAGCGCCATCGTGTACTTGTCCACAAGAGCCTTTCAAATACGATGCAGGCGGCGTCACAAGGGCCGACACAGGTTGCGCGCTGTCGGTGGAGGTGCGCTATGTAAACACAGAAAAAACTAACACACATCCGAAGGGCAATCAACAATAATCCAAAACCTCCGCGCAGGAGGCCAAGTCCCGTGCCGCTCAGGCTGCGGCCACGACGACGACCTCCACGACCACGACGACGGCGACGATGACGCCGCCAACAACGACGAAGACAATGACGACGACAACACCGACGACGAAGATGACGACTGCGAAAATGTTTACGACGACCACGACGAACACGACAACGAAGACGACGACGACGACCCCGACGCCGAACGCCGCGACGACGGTCGACGACGACTCCCTCGCCGAACGCCACAACGAGAACCATGACGAGAAGCACGACGACGACCACGACGACTCCGCGCGGCGGCGACGACGACAACGACGACGACGACTACGATGACGACGGCGATATCGGCCCCTCCGGCACCACGACATGCTGCTGGTGGCGTCGGCCCCTCGAAACGCTCGACTCTTTCCAAGGAGGGGGGGGACTGTCGTGTGTGGTGGTGCCTGTGAGTGTAGCTGCGTGTGTGTTGTGCATGAATGGGTGGGAGTGCATACGTGCGCGCGTGTTCGCGTGCGCGCGTGCGTGCATGCACGCATGCGTGCGTGCGTGCATGAGTACGTGCGCGCGTGCGTGCGTGAGTGAGTGCGTGCGTGCGTGCCGTGTGCGTGTGTGTGTGCGCGTGCGCGTGCGCGTGCGCGTGCGCGCGCGTGTGTGTGTGTGTGTGTATTGTGTGTTGTGCGTTGTGTGTTGTGTGTTGTGTATTGTGTGTTGTGTGTTGTGCGTTGTGTGTTGTGTGTTGTGGATTGTGTGTTGTGGATTGTGTGTTGTGTGCTGTGTGTTGTGCGTGCTTGCTTGCTTGCTTGCTTGCTTGCTTGCTTGCTTGCATGTGTGTGTGTGTGTGTTGGGGGGGGGGCTAAATCTTCGCCATGGCCCCCTTGGGTGCTTGGCGGGCCACCCGCGGCCTCGGCACCCGCCGCTCCCCTTTGCCTGGCTTTCAAGCCGCCCCCTCTTGCGAGGTGGTCCTCCCGCTGTCCCGGCGCCGCTGGTCGACGGGCTCCGCCTCAGCCGCTCGACTGTGCGCTCGTGTCCTCTGGACCCCCCGCCTTGGGTGGTCCAGCGTGGCCGCCTCCTCCAGGTCGCCTCGCAGGTCATCTGGACCTCAGCACTTCGGCTTGCGTGCGCCTCGTTCGGGCCACTCTGCTGGATCTGCTTCAGCCCCTCGGCTTGAGGTGGTCTGCTCAGGCTGACCGCTCTCCGATGCCTGGAGGCCATTCGGATCTCGGCACCCCTGTCGCCTCGCTGTGCTGCTTCCACCTCCAGCTCCCGCTGGACCTGCTGGCCCCCCACTTTTGGCTCGTGCCCGGCGGCCTCCTGGCTGCCTACCCCTCCAGCTGCTGCACCGCTGCCGCGGGTGGCCCCCGGTTCCGGCGCCCGCCCCGCCGCCGCCTGGCCCCGCTCTCAGCGGGCACGGTTTCTGTGTCCCTCCCGCCTGCGATGGGCTCCCCTCCTCCTCCCCCATGCACCGCGGCTCCATCCGCATTCTGTGTGTGTGTGTGTGGGTGGGTGTGTCCCAGTAGCGCTACATCGCCAGCGTAGTCACCCTGCCTAACCGCCGACGCAAAAAGCGTGTGGCACCGCCTGCAATGGGCGGAGGTCGGAATCATCCGCTACTGCATGCCAGACTCGGGGCCAGGCCGGCTCAGCAGACATTTAACCATCCACTGATGGCTATCCTCGGTGCCACATTACTTATTCCGAAGAGGGTGAGCCAAGCCACGCGAGCACATGATGTGACGAATCGAACAGTCTCGCCCCGAGACCGCTCCGCATCGCACGGAGAACGGAGGCCAAGTGTCTTCCAACATCGCACGGATAAATGGGCAACACGCCCCTAGACACCAACAATCGCACAGATAACGGGTTCCAAGGGCCTTCCCACATCACACGGATAGCGGGAAGAAACTCGGGAAAAAAAACGGATGGTGAACCGCGATTGTCCTGCGTCTGTGGGCTCCCTCGATGCCTGCTTCACCCCAACCAGAATTGGGGCTCCGCCGCGTTGCTGCACACGTCGCAGCGACGCCACAAAAAGGTTCGTGTATGTGTGTGGTGCGTGCGTCACCGTGCATGGTTATGCTCGCGCACTTTGCCACGCATGACGGACAACTCTTGCTGCGAGCCGGTCCCGCCTGCGATCAAGCCCGCCGCCGAAGGTGACCCAAGGCCACGCTGGAGGAGAGACTCTGCGAGAACACGCGCGTCCGTGCGCGCCGTTTTTGAGCAGTCTCCCCACGACATGCGACGTCCCGATTTGTTCAATACGGGGTCCCTGGAAGTCCCGACCCTTTCCCCAGGACCGGTTTTTCATCCTGAATCGTTTTTGACGGTCGCGAGGCCCGGCGAGAGCCCCCCGATGCGGAAAACAGCCAACAAAAACCTCCGGTCCCGAATTTCCTACGACGCGACGCGATCACGTCTGTGTCTGTGTCCTGCGACGTCGTGTGCCTGGGGTGCCTGGGCGTCAGCCCCAGCCACTGGAAGGCTGCAGATAGCGCCTCGTGTCTCCACGTCGCGCCGCGGCCGGGAGAGTGCCGCCAGGAGCCCCGCCCGCGCGGGAGGGAGGGTTATGGGGGAGAGGGGGGCGAGGGGGAGGGGGGGAGGGGGAGGAAGGGGGGGGGGCGGGGGAGAAGGGGAGGGAGGGGAGGGAGGGGGAGGAGGGGAGGGGGGAGGGGGCAAGCTAGGTGCGCTCGCGTCATATCTGACATCCTACCCCTCCCTCCCATCCCTTTCCATGGCGCAGATCCCCTCTCTACTCGTACGCGATGTATTGTAAAGCACGGCATGGCATGGCGTAGAAGAGCACCGCAAAACGTAGCATCAACCTAGCATTGCATTGCATGCCGTGGCATGGCACGGGAAATGACGCCAGCGCTGCAGCGGGAGCACGAGTCGAAACGAGCGGAAGCGCGGAAATGAGGCCAGGGCTGCAGCGGGAGCACGAGTCGAAACGAGCGGAAGCACGGAAATGAGAGCAGCGCTGCAGCGGGAGCACGATTCGGAACGAGCGGGGCCCAAAAAATGAAGCCGGCGCCTCAGCGAGAGCAGCATTTTGAAAAAAATGCATGCGAAAACCCAACGCCGGGGAAAGCTGTGTAAAACAAACAGTACGCGGGGGGGGGGGTCGGACACTTTCAAGCCGTCATCAGGGGAAGAGGGAGAGTAGTATTCATATTGAGTAATTGTAGAGGGGAGGGAGGGGGAGGAGGGGAAGGGGAGGGGGGGGGGGAGGGAAGGGGGGGGAGGGAAGGGGGGGGAGGGAGGGTAGGAAACGTGGGAGGAAAGGGAGGGAGGGGGGAGGGGGAGGGAAGGGGGCCGCGAAGGCGGGGGAGGGAGGGGGAGAGGCGAGGGAGCGGCGGGAGATCCGTGCGCGAGCTGGCGGCCCGTCGCCGCGCGTCGGAGCTCGAAGTCCTGCCCGACGGACCCTGGGCGTTTCGCACCTGTTCTCCTTGGGTCCTGTGCGCTCCGTCTCTCTCGCGACTTGGGCTCCAAACCCGAAGTCCGAAGTGGAGTGAGGTAGGGGGAGGAGGAGGAGGAGGAGGAGGAGGAGGAGGAGGAGGAGGAGGAGGAGGAGGAGGAGGAGGAGGAGGAGGAGGAGGAGGGAGGAGGAGGGAGGAGGGAGGGAGGAAGACGAGGAGGAGGGGGAGGAGGGGAAGAGGAGGAGGAGGAGGAGGAGGAGGAGGAGGAGGAGGAGGAGGAGGAGGAGTCCTGGTTCCCAGAAGGCACATCTCTCACGAAGCGGCACGACGAGCCGCCGAGCGGCCCTCGCGCAGGGGGACCGCCCGGGGGGAGCGGGGGCGGCCGGGCGCGGCGGGGGGCGTGCCGGCCTGGGAGGTCCGCGCCCCGCAGCTCCGCCCCGCCTCGCGGCGCGCTCGTCCGCCCCCCCCCCCCCCAAGAGGCGGCGGCGGCGGCGGCGGGGGGGGGGGGGGGCAGGCGCGGCCAGGCGCGCAGCGCGAGGGGCCCCCCCCGCGGAGGGTGGGCGTGGCCCTGGCGAGGCCGTCGAGGTCGTGCGGGGAGGGGCCGAGGGGAACGAGGGAGGGGGAGGGAGGGGGGGAGGAAGAGAAGGAAGGGGGAGGGAGGGGGAGGGAGGGGCAGGGAACAAAGGGGGGGGGAAGGGGCGAAGGCAACGAAGAGGGGAGGGAGGGAGGGGGAGGGAAGAGGAGGGGAGCGGAGGGAGGGCCAGGGAGGGAGGAGGGAGGGAATGGATAAGGGGAGGAGCGAGGGAAGGGGAGGAAAGGAGGAGGATTCGGCTTTCTTGGATGGCGCATCTGATGAGACGGGGGTATCGAGGGAGGGGGCGCGGAAGGGGAAGGGAGAAGAGGAGCATCATAAGACCATGAGGAGTACGACCCCACGCCGAAGGGTCATGGAGATGATCGGGGGTGGTAGAAAAGAGCGCCACAACGCTATTATTAGTATGACTGCGACGCCTGCCGGCGCTACTGCGCATGCTCATCCTACTGGCCAACTTGCAACGTTGACCTCGTGTGTTCCTACTCCTGTTCATGTACTTATCAACCTGTCCCCTCTACTGCCAATATCAGTAACATAAACGGCCATTGTTTTTGGCACTACTAACTACAAATAATGCGAATGTTCATCAACCCCGTACGACTATCCTGACACAGCCCCGTGACATTGTCCTACTCAGTTGACTCACACCGACCATACTACAACTGTGATCGAACGAATACGAAATGGGTAACACCGTGTTGCTAACCACATCTCAACACCAAAATCGGCCGTGTGCATCTACCGAGAGAAGAAAATCCCGGTCTCGGTGATGGTGGTAATATTCTGGCTTCAAAGTGACCGAAATATTGCCACCAACACCGGAATCTAGGATCATCGTCCCCATGTGGAGGCAACCCCCTGTGTTGGTGTTGGTGCCCATTTTTAGCACGTGCAGCGGGAATGGAGTGCAGCGCACATCGCGGGCGCGAGAAACAGCAAGGCGGGTCTCTGAGGAACTCTGAAGACAAGCCGTGGAGCGCAAACCTCACGCTCGCTTCGCCAGGACACCTCTACGCCCGCCCGCGTGGAGGCGCTGCCCACGGCGAGCCTCGGCTATGAATGTGCAGGGGCCCGGACACACACACACACACACACACACACACACATACACACACCCACACACACACACGAATAGACACAGACAACAGGATTCCCCCTATGTTCCTGTATTTTCTGGGTTCTCGTCTTCCCCACCCCTTCCCATATTTTCCCATATTTTCCTGGGGATCGACGATTACTTGTGTCTGTGTGTTCTTTCCCCTCCTGAGAATGGGCTCCCCGACCCAGGTCCAGGAAACGCCTCGAAAACCGTACGGCAAATCCCTGGCGCGTCGACCCGGGCGCTGGTTGCTGACACCGCGGGGATCGTTCAACCTGGAACGACTGGCCGTTTTCGAGACGCCAGGCCGTTCAACATCGACTGTTGAACTCCACGTTGAACATCGACCTGGGTCGCCAGCGGCGCTCCACGTTGAGACTCGGCGGCGGGGTCGCCGCCGCACGACACGGCGCGAAGCTGCCAAGGTGGTCCTTACCTCAACGTCTCGGCCCTGTGGGGGCGGGGTCGGCGGTGGTGAGGGGCAAAGATAGAGGGGGACTGGCATAGGGGGGGGCGCATCAGACTGGCATCGGCGATACATCGCCGGTAGATCGGCGATGGGCCCCCGACAGCGCATCCGCACCTTCCTGGGCATGAGGGGGCTATCGGGCCCCTATCGGCGATCAATGGGCGATTGGGGGTCGATGCATCCCCCCCGATGCCTATCCCCCCCTGTCGTTGCCCCAAAGGTGGGTCCCGCCCACGGCCACCCCGGTCACTCGCGGGTTCCGTCCTTGCTGACCAAAAGTGTTCCGCGCCACGTGCGGCGGCGTCGGCCAGGCGCCCCAGAAGCGCCCAAACGACAGAATCAAAACCGCGACGCCGACGACGACGTCGATGGGGACGGAGGCAGGGTTAAGTCGGGCCTGTCCCGCTACACGCCGATTTTCGAGGGGAAAAAAAAATAGCCCCAAAAAATTCAAAAAAAGTCCCCCGACTATTTTGTTACTATTTCTGAACATTCCCCCCGTAGAGGGACAGGCCCGACAGGCAGGGGAAGAGGCTGCGGACGGGGATTCGGGCAAGCATGAGCCAGGGGGAGGGGGGCGAAAGAGAGGGGGCCTCTCCTCCTCCTCCCGCTCGTCCTCCTGCCTCTCGCCCTCACCTCCGCCCTGCCCCCGATTCAACCCGCCCCCTCTTCTTCTTCATCCTGTTCTTTCCTGCTCAACCATCCTCATGCTCGTCGTCGTCTTCCTCCTCCTCCTCCTCCTCCTCCTCCTCCTCCTCCTCCTCCCTCCTCGTGCTCACCTTCCTCCTCTTCCGCGGGCGACTGGCCAGGAGGGCCATGATGTGGGGATGTGCCTCTCGGACAATGCGGGACCTCGTTGAACAAAGGCACCCTCACGAAAGCTCTACTTTCCACATTCTCTTAGAGAAGAGGGCGCCCCCTTAAAGAAGGCTGACTCCTGGCAAACCCTGCGTCCTCTCGCTCATCGTCGTCGTCACCGTCACCGGAGCCGTCGCTCACTACTTCGACTGAGACTACGATCTGCGTGAAACGCCGCGATGGCGCTGCAGAGTGGGCCTAAACCACCCAGAAAAAAAACATATCATGAAATAACCTGGGCGCGTGCGGGCATCCAAGATAGCGACAGCACACTCAAGCTGGTTCCCAATTCTTCGCGGAAGCAGACGCCGAAGCAGCCGCCGAAACCGTCGCCATCACTGAAACCGTCGTCGCCGTCACCGTCGCCAACGCCGCCTCGGGGGATCTTCTGACCAGGGTCAATCGAAACCCGGGTCAGCAATAAACCAAACAACTGCAATGCAGGGACAAACAAAAACAAATGCAACGCAGGTCTTCGCAAATCCGGGTCAGCCAATATGCGCGGCCGCCTCGCGGCCACGAGCGGCTCGCTAACCTGGGTCAAGCAGAGGGGGTCTTCGCAGGATCCTGCAAGATCCGGTGCCCTGGCTGACCCCCGTTTGCATTGACCCCCGTCTCTTGAGAGCCCCGAGTCGTCATCACAGATGCCGCTGCCGGCGTCGCCGCAGCCATGATCACCTCCGCTAGCCCTGCTCGGTGCCACCGAGCCGCTGCCCCCGTCGCCGCCGCTGGAGACGCTGGACGGCGCAACGGTCGACTCGCGGCTGCTCTCGGCATGAACCAAAACTCTTGAAAGAAACGGGTTCTGGATCCTGGTGGCCTTCTCCCAGGACCAACTCCTAAGTCGTTTTCTGACAACCCTTAGGCCCTGGAAAGCCCCTGGAAGCCCCAAACGGCGAAACGCCTCGACCTTCGACAGGGTGCGTGGCTGAAGTGGGACTCTGCGGCACGGATTATGTTTGTTGTTATGGTTGCGATGCGTTGCGTTGCGTTGTTGTTGTCGTCGCCTCCCCCCGCGACCCGGCCCGAAACGCACTCTCGAACCACCGGCGACCCCGCTTCCCCCATGGCGTCCTTCGACTCGCGGCCGGTCGCCCTGTTTGGCGGCGCCGCCAGCCGCCGCCGTCCCCGTTGCCGCCGGCCGCCACCGCCGCCGCGTCGTCGTCGTCGTCGTCGTCGCCGTCAGCGTCGTCGGGCATCGTCGTGCGTCGTCGGGCATCGTCGGGCGACATCGGGCCTCGTCGTCGTCGTCGTCGTCGGGCATCGTTGTCGTCGCCGTCGTCGTCGGACGTCGTCGGGCATCGTCGGGCATCGCCGTCGTCGTCGCCGTCGTCGTCGGGCGTCGTCGGGCATCGTCGGGCATCATCGTCGTCGTCGTCGTCGTCGTCGTCTGTCGTCGCCCGCACCGCGGGTCGCAGCGGCCGCGGCGGGGCGCACCAACGGGCGGGGCGGGGAGGCCGAGTCCGCGAAGGGCCGCCTGGGAGCTGCCGCGTCGTCGTCGCGGGTCGTCGGGGTCGCCAGGCCAGGAGGACCGATCCTCGAACCCCTATCCTCCTGCCTCGACTCTCGATCACCGTCTTTTTTTCAAAAAAAAAAAAAAAGAAAGAAAAAGTAACGCGCCCTTGCTCAGGTTGCGGCTTCACGGATAGATCGCGCTCAAGCAACTACCGAAGTCAGTGCTACGGGATGGCCTTTTTTACGCAACTGGTGGCCATTCAAGCCCAAAGGTTTCCATGTAAAACGCAGAAATGGTTGAGGTGATCATTCGATCGGATATCCAACGACACGCCAGTCGCCCTGGCTACCATAAGAGAGCATGTGTACTCCAGAAGCGCCACCACATCCAAGTATGTGTCCTCCATTGGAGAAGAACTGCCAGTCAATGCGGTCGGCCATGGCAGATCGGATTGCGTGTGTCGTAAGATTGCCCACGTCCGTCTTTCCCATGACTGCATAATTTCGCAGAAGTAATCCGTTCCTTGGTTCCACGCTCTCGCTCGCCAATCGACTGGCTCTAACAATTCCCTTTTGTAAGCAAATTTGGTGTACGGTCAGAACAATGAATTCCAAATCTGCATGATCGGACAGCATCGAGTCAGAAAGCCAGGTCGGATCGGGACGTGTGCCGCATCGGGCTGCATCCGCACGGAGTCGAGCTCGAGCCGGAGCGGCTGCGCCTGGATACGATCTGCGCCTTGCAGGCATCGGGTCGCGTCGGATCGCCGCTGGGAGATCGAAATCGAATCGGACAGAACAGGCCGAACTCGTTGAGCAGTGGCCGACCGTCCCGGCATTCCTATAGGCCTACCACGAAATTTTCTTAGAACCGCAAAATGTTTTAAGAGCAAAAACATTGTTCTTAGAGCATACGCCCGATGAGTTAAAACAAGACAGTCCCAGCCAGAAATGTTCTAAGAACATGTCGTAAAAACCACAAGGTTCTTAGAGCATTCTTTGGTAGGCCTATAGGCGAGCCGTGACGCTTCGCCACCGCTTGAACTCGACAAAGGACCCTATCGAGCTGTTGAGGAGGGACCGACCGTCCTGTAGTCCTACCACGACATGTTCTTAGAACCCAACAAATGTTCCAACAACAAACAATCAAGACCGTCGCAGCCAGAAATAATCTAAGAACACTTCGTGCAGACCACAAAAGGTTCTCAGAACATTCCTTGGTGGGCCTATAGGCGAGCCGGCACGCTTCGCCACTGCTTGAAGCTGACGCCAGATCCCGCCCAGCGCCTCGCTTGCAAGGACCACCTCGTCGACGCTGTGCCGCAGGGGCCCGGCTGAACTACACGGGCCTCGGCGGGCCGACCGCCACGAAGACGAGCGGGGTGAGGTCGGCAAGGGCAGCCTCGCTCGGGCGGCACCGGTCCCGCTTCTCCCGCACCATGCGCAGCCGCGGGTGGCGAGACCAAGCCTGCCCGACTCCAGCTGGCCTGGGCGCCTGTTATCCCATGCTGGGAACGGCTGCTCTGTCCCCCCCCCCTGTCTCTCCCCCTCCCTCTCCGCTCCTTTCCTCCCCTTCTACCTCCTCGTCCTCTACCTCCTCCGCCTCCGCCTCCGCCTCCGCCTCCGCCTCCTCCTCCTCCTCCTCCGCCTCCGCCTCCTCCTCCTCCTCCGCTGCCGCCTCCGCCTCCTCCTCCTCCGCCGCCGCCTCCGCCTCCGCCTCCGCCTCCGCCTCCTCCTCCTCCTCCTCCTCCTCCTCCTCCTCCTCCTCCATCGTTGTCCTCGTCCTCACCCCTATTTCTCTCCTTCTCCCCCTGCTCCTCCTTCCTCCTCCTCCTCCTCCTCCTCCTCCTCCTCCTCCTCCTCCTCATCCTTGCATTCCTCCCCCCTCCGCATCCCCTGGAACCTCCAGGAACAGGCGCAGCCCTCCCTCACCGCTTCCTCATCCCTCTGCGCCTCCTCCGTCCTCGTCCCTCTCCTCCTCTCCTTTCCTGGTGCCTGCCCCTCTCCCTCCTGCCGACGCAGCCAGGGCCCGCCTCGATCTCCTCGTCCCTGACGGCCCCGAAGGCGTCGTCACCCCTCGGCGGCCCCCGCGCCTGCCGACGGCTCGGCAGGCCCCGGCGAGGACGACGACGAGGACGACAACAACGACAAGGAGAAGGCGGACGACGGCGACGGCGAGAGCGAGGACGAGGATGACGGCTAGATCGACGATGGCGACGAAGGCGGCAAGGCCACCGACGAGGACGACGAAGAGCATGATGACTGCGAAGATGACGACGTAGACTAGAAGACCGACCTCGAGGAAGAGAACGACGACAACGACGAGGACGACGTTGATGTTGACGAGGATCAGGCAGGAGAAGGGGGAGGATAAAGGGGAGGATGAATGATGGAGAAGTGACGATAGATGGATGGAGGGAGGCCGAACGAGTCCAAATGTGGCGAGAGTTCAAGGGGTGGTCCACGGAGGTGTTCTGGGACCGCGTTAATGAGGGAAGGTTTAGCATGCAAGCGTGAGCGGGCGAGGGAGGGAGCAGAAGAGAAATGGCCCAGGATCCATAGGAGGAGCCTGGGGAGTGATGGCGTATGCCAACAAGGCGGGCTCGTGTCGTGACGACGGCAAATTTGATGTCTGCCAACTCCTGGATCTGAGGGGCAACTGTAGGGGGGGACTGGCGTAATGAAGGGGGAAACATCGGCCTGGAATCGACGATACATCGCCAATAGATCGGTAAGAGGCCCTCAACCGTCAATCCGCACGTCCCTAGGCAGGTTCGAGCTACCGGGACCCCATCGGCAATCAACGGGCGATTGGAGATCGATGCATCCCCCCCTAAGCATATCCCCCCTACCGCTGCCCCTGAAGATCGCTCAACCTTTCGGAATCATTCGGTATCGCACCGACAGCATCCGACAACGCAAATCGTCCGATGCCCTGTCTGCCATTTCGTGCGGCAGGGAGGGCCCCCGGGGTTGCGATGCTTATTCTGGGGACCGTCCTGGCCGCTCTTGCACCGATGATGCGTCCGACGTCAGTCGACATGAAACGACCTTGAGCCGACCTGGAAACGAACCGACGTCAAACGAGGATCAAACAGATCCGTTGGACGGGCCCCGAGAAGGCCCCCTCAGACGAGCACTGAAGAGGGCTGGCCCAGCAGTGAGAAAAGGGAGGGGCCTCGGCTCCAGGCTCCGCTGGCGAGCCAGGGAGGGCCCCTGAGGGGAGAGTGTCCCAGGATCCAATGGGGCCCTGTTTTTTTTGTTACCCACTGCCCAGGGCCACTGCCCCTGGGACAAGGAACCAATAGGAACATGAAGGGGCAAGGACAATGGAACCTTTTCTGTGTAAAGAAGCCTTGAAACAACTACGGAACACACCTTCACTTATTACGTCTGCGCTTGACGAACACTCTGCAACGGCAAGACGCCCACGTCACAGAATACCTCTTGGAGGTGGTGAACGTGTCGAACAGACATCAGGAACAAGGATATGCCTGAAGTGATCCAGGCAGTCTTCGTATCTACAGAGGAGCAAAGAAGACGGAGGGTGTACAATAGTTATACGGAGGCAAGAAGGAAGGTACAGAAGATGGACGATGTGAACAATGTACAACTCAAGAAGCAACCCGCCTGGCGAGTGCCTATAGGAGTCATTGCGATGAAAAGCCATACGAACGCATTCGCGGGGTTCGCCACCTATCATTGTGCGTGCCGTACAACGGGGCGCAAACGAGTCCTGGAACCAAACGAGTCCTGGAAGCTGTCGGAGACTTGCACAAATAGCTCCCACGATGCTGAATAGAAATGCCCGTGGCGTGGCTTGCTGGCGAAGGCGAGGGCCGAAATCTTTACCTTCCCATGGACTGGCTCAGTACTGGCCTTCGCGGAAGGGCGAACGCACTACCTGGACCCCATCCTGGCCCCATCTGACTCGTGTTCCGAGCGGCGTCCAGCCAAGGCGACAGGGAAGGCCCCCGAAGGCCAACCGAAAAAGAAGAGGAAGACAGCGAATCGCAAGTCCTTGCCATGAAACTCTCGAGGGAAACGGGGCCTGGACCCCCCCTAGGCTTCCCCCGGGACAAGCTTTTCATCCCGAATCGAGTTCTGGCGGCCGCGGCCCTGGAAAGGCCTTCAAGAACGACAGAAAATTTCAGGATCCGTCAACCTCAGGGCCTCTTCTCATAATGGCGAGTCGCTGCTGGCTCAGGCTCAGCAGTGCGAGTTGCCGACTGCCCGGCCACGGGCTCTCCTCCTTTTTCCTTCTTCTCCGAACCCAATCCACTTAAGATCGGTCACCGGACCTCCACCCTGGCCAGACTTTCGGGCCGCGTCCAGCCGTGGCGGCAAGAAGCCAAGAAACGCCCCAGGAGAAGGGGGCACCAAGAGAACGATACCGCTGCTCCTGGCACCTCTAGCGGGGTGCGTTCTGACCGAGGCGCTTCAAGGACAACCCAGTCGTAGCGAAGAGCGCTCCACAGGACGGGCAGCGGTGTCGGCACCTCCCCCCCCCCAATCAGACAAAGAAGGGGACCTCCGAGGCAACGGCGGCGACATCCACGCCGACGTCGCCTGGAGCGCCCTGGGGGGAAGCGAGAGCTGGCCATCGCTCGGACGTCCATTCCCTGTGCTTTTTCCCGGTTTCGTGCGTGGTTTTTTCGCCAAATAGTCCAGGATGCTCCTCGATGGCCCTCGCCGAGAAAAAATGCACACGCCCGAGCGATGCCAGGAGAGGGGACAGGCCCTCCCAGAAGGCGGCACTGCTTCTCGGAGCCCTCCGGCCTTCTCGGGAGCCGCCCCCCGTCTTCGCAGATGGCTTCGAGCCCTTCTCGGGAGACCGGAGGCCCGTCGAGCCGAGGAGGAGGAGGAGGAGGAGGAGGAGAGGAGGGAAGGCGGAGGAGGACGGCCCGCCCCGCCTGACTTACTCCACGGCCGCACGCGCGTGGGGCGCGCTGGTGCCGCCGCTGCGGCCCGTGGCGGCATGGGAGTGCGTGCGCGCGGACGTCGCGCGCGCGTGAAGGAGGCGGGGGGCACCGAGCAGGCCTCCTGCCTGGAGCGAGGCGCGCGCAGGGTGATGTCCTGCGGGCTGCTCGGTGGTGGGCACGGCCAAGGGGTCCCCGCCCTGCTCCTGCACATGCTCATTCCCGCCTCGCCTCCACCTCCTCCTCATGATACATGGCCTCTTCCTGCTGGTCCATCGCCTCCTCATCCCATCATCAAATCCATCATCACATCTGACATCACCATCATCGCCATCACCACCACCATCATCATCATCATCATCATCATCATCATCATCACCATCACCACCACCATCATCATCATCATCAGCAGCAGCAGGGTCATCAGCATCATCATCATCATCAGCATCGTCATCATCATCATCATCATAATCATCATCATCAACACCATCATCACCATCATAACCATCATCACCATGTCCATCATCATCAGCATAATCAGCATCATGAAAATCATCAGCATCATCATCATCGTCAACGACGTAATCATAACAGTCGTTACAACAGTCACCATCACTATCACCACCAGCACCACCACCATCGTCAGCAACCTATTCTTCATCATCCGCATCATCAGCATAAGCAGCATCATCGTCATTAGCATCATCGTCATCAGCATCAGCATCAGCATCAGCATCAGCATCATCATCATCATCATCATCATCATCGAGCACGTCGTCACCATCATCATCAACATCATCATAATCGGCATCGTCATCGTCACCACCATCATCATCATCATCATCACGATCATCGCTCCACCGCCTGCCGAGGTCCCCGAAGATGGATCCCCCAGGTGAAAGTGATGGATCAATCGAGCGAAATCGTCATGTTTAGACGGCTGACTTAGACCATCTAGAAGCCTTGTCAGGAGCGATTCCAAGACGATGCTAGGATGACAGTTTTCAAATCGATGTTGTTGCTGTTCTTCATGTTTTTGAGGATGTCCCCAGCGAAATCATCATTTTCGGCAGTCTCCAGGACGCTGTTGGAGCCATCTTGGGTTCCTTTTGGGGCTCTCATGTCTTCTTCATCTTGAACCAGTTCGAGAACGATGACGAGGCGATGTTGCGAACATCTCATTGTTTGAGGATGTCCCCACCGAAATGATCATGTTCTGCAGAACTCCATTTTTTCGGTCTGCTGCGCCCCTCCCGACTTTCTGAGGATGTCCGGAGCGAGAGCGCCATTTTTTGAAATGAGAGGTAGTAAACCAGTTTTTCCAACATATCAGTTGTTCGAGAATGTCCTAGGAAAACGCTCATTTTTCATGCACAACAGAATCCTTGACGATTTTCAACATCCCGATTTTCTGAGGATGTCTCGAGCGAAAACGTAACTTTGAACCGAACACGTCTCAAACGATAGCCCCCAGCATCTCCATTGTCGGAGGATGTCTCGAGCGAACTCGCTGTCTTGGGGAACCGTTCCTGTCATGAACGGGAAGCGCGTGAAAGCGCAGAGTTGCGCAAGAACTCGCAGCATCATCGTGATCAAATGTAATATAGGCGAGCTCTCCGAACGCTCACACAGGATACGTATGGACACGCGCCCCCCGAACGTTTACAAGCAACTTCCTGTTTATCCTCCTCACCCCTCCGCATGAGGACGACGGCGAAAACGACAATCGTGGGAGGAGGGGGGGAGCATGAGGAGGAGGAAGAGGAGGAGGGGGAGGAGGAGGAGGAGGAGGAGGAGAAGGAGGAGGAGAAGGATGAGGACCAGCAGCAGCAGCACCAAGAGCAGAAACCGAGGGTGAGGAGGGGACGGGGAGGAGGACGAGGAAGAGGAGGAACAGGAGCAGGAGGAGGAGGAAGACGAGGCGGAGGAGGAGGAAAGAGAAGGAGGAAGAACGAGAGGAGGAGGAGGAGGGGGAGGAGGAGGAGGAGGAGCAGGTGGAGAAGCAAGAACAGGAAGAGGAAGAGGAGGAGACGGAGGAGGAGGAGAAGGAGAAGGAGGACGAGGAGGAGGAGCAGGAGGAGGAGGAGACCACATGGAATCGAGGGCCCGTTCGAAGGCATTTTGTAAGGCATGTCTCGAGTGAAACGCTGGTTTGCCAACGACAATGTTAAACACACGTGGTTGTTATTCAATATTGTCGCGTCTTGGGCAATCTTGGAAGTCATCCGAGATCGCTCCGAAAAGATGCCTTACAAGAGTTCCGTCGGCATCCCATTTGTTCGAGGGTGTCTCGGGCGAAGCACCCATTCTCGAGGATCCGAACATTAGGCGAGCGATTTCAAGATCTCCATTGTTGGATGATGTCTCAAGCGAAACGCCCATGTTTAGCAAACGACGTCTCGTCATACGACCCCAAACTTCACGACTTAGCGAGGATGTCTCGAGCGAAACGCTCATGTTGGGAACCTTTCCTGACATGAACGGGAAGCGCGTGAAAGCGAAGGGTTGCGCAAGAACTCGCAGCATGCCCGTGATCAAATGTAATATAGGCGAGCTCTCCGAACGCTCACAAAAGATACGTATGGACACGCGCCCCCGAACGTTTACAAGCAACTTCCTGTTTATCCTCCTCACTCCTCCGCGTGAGGAGGACGACTGCGAAAACGACAATCGTGGGAGGAGGGGGGGGGAGCATGAGGAGGAGGAGGAGGAGGAGAAGGAGGAGGAGGAGGAGGAGGAGGAGGGGGAGAAAGAGGAGGAGGAGGAGGCGGAGGAGGACCAGCAGCAGCAGCAAGAGCAGGAACCGAGGGTGAGGATGGGGACGGGGAGGAGGACGAGGAAGAGGAGGAACAGGAGCAGGAGGAGGAGGAGGAGAACGAGGCGGAGGAGGAGGAACGAGAAGGAGGAAGAACGAGAGGAGGAGGAGGAGGAGGGGGAGGGAGGAGGAGGAGGAGGAGAAGCAAGAACAGGAGGAGGAAGAGGAGGAGACGGAGGAGGAGGAGAGGGAGGAGGGAGGAGGAGGAGGAGGAGGAGGAGGAGAAGGAGAAGGAGGACGAGGACGAGGAGGAGCAGGAGGAAGAGGAGGAGGAGGAGACCAGATGGCCTCGAGGGCCCGTTCGAAGGCATTGTGTAAGGCATGTCTCGAGTGAAACGCCGGTTTGCCAACGAAAATGTTAAACACACGTGGTTGTTATTCAATATTGTCGCGTCTTGGGCAATCTTGGAGGTCATCCAGGATCGCTCCGCAAAGATGCCTTACAAGAGCTCCGTCGGCATCCCATTTGTTCGAGGGTGTCTCGGGAGAACCACCCATTTTCGAGGATCCGAAAATTAGGCGAGCGATTTCGAGATCTCCATTTTTGGAGGATGTCTAGAGCGAAACGCCCATGTTTAGCATACGACGTCTTAAGATACGACCCCCAACTTTACGATGCTGCGAGGATGTCTCGAGCGAAACGCTCATGTTGGGAGCCTTTCCTGACATGAACGGGAAGCGCGTGAAAGCGAAGAGTTCGCAAGAACTCGCAGCATCATCGTGATCAAATGTGATATAGCCGAGCTCTCCGAACGCTCACAAAGGATACGCATGGACACGCGCCCCCAGAACGTTTACAAGCATCTTCCTGGTTATGCTCCTCACTTCTCCACATGAGGACGACGGCGAAAACGACAATTGTGGGAGGAGGGGGAGGAGGATGAGAAGGAGGAGGAGGAGGAGGATGAGGAGGAGGAGGATGAGGAGGAGGAGGACCAGCAGCAGCAGCATCAGCAGCAGCAAGAGCAGGAACAGAAGGTGAGGAGGGGACGGGGAGGAGGACGAGGTAGAGGAGGAACATGAGCAGGAGGAGGAAGACGACGAGGCGGAGGAGGAGGAGGAAAGAGAAGGAGAAAGAACGAGAGGAGGAGGAGGAGAAGGAGGAGGAGGAGGAGGTGGAGAAGCAATTCGCCGGCCCAACGGGCCAGAGGCGTGCTAAGATCTCCGGTAACTGGTTAACAATTCTCTAGTTCGCGCGCGCGGGGCGGCCCCTGGGGGTCCCCGGACGAAAAGTACCCCGACCAGGTCCCGGCCGGGTCCCCCCGAGCGCCCCATGAGCGCACCAACAGGGCTCCGAAAACGTCCCCGAGGACCCAAACAAAACCAAGAGGCCCCCAAGAGGCCCCCAAGATGGTACACGAGGGGTCCGACATGCCACAAGATCGCTCCAAGACGCCCAAGATGGCCCCCAGACGCCCCAAGAGGCCTCCAAGAGCACTCCCAAGAGGGCCCCGGAGGCAAAATTCATTGATTTTCCTTAGGTTTTTGAGAGATTTTGGAGCTTCCACCTTTTCGGCTTCCCGACGCCCCAAGACGGCCCAAGAGGCCCCCAAGATCGCCCCAAGAGGGCCCAAGAGGCCCCCAAGAGGGCCCCAAGATGGCCCAAGAGGGCTCGAAGACGGCCCAAGAAGCCTCCAAGACGGCCCAAGAGGGCCCCAAGAACGCCCCAAGAGAGGGAACACGAAACAACATTTCCAGCCCTCGGCCCCAAGAAGCCCCTCCGAGGCCCCAAGAGGCCCCTGAGAGGCCCCAAGAGGCCCCGACGAGGCCCTCAGGAGGCCCCCAAGAGTCCCCCAAGCGGCCCCAGGAGGCCCCCCAAATGCCCCCCCGAGCGCCCCAGGAACCCCCAAAGCGCCGCATTGACACCAGGCCCTCGGGCAAACGGCAGACATGAGACTGTATGGGCCGGCGGAATGAGCGAAGCGATCCGCCGCCCCACCGGGAACGGCGTGTGGGATCCCCGCCGCATGGTCTGCACGATTTCTGCCCCCTTCGTCTCCTTGCTCATGCACTCCTCGTACCAATTCCTTTCCTGAGAGGCTTCGCAACCCCTCCTGGGGTCCTCCCCGCGGGCTGCTCATTCCGCCGGCCCGGGGGCCCCAGCTGCGCAATGGACGTCCGTTGGCGGCCATTTTGTCTTCACTTGCAGCAGGACTTCGCACGGAAAGCTTCCGCGCGCCTCCGGGCGCTGTTTGGGCGCTCTCCGGACACCCTCTGGGGCAGTTTTCGGACCACCTTTGAGCCCTCTGGAGCTCCTTTGGGCCCTTATTGGGCCCCTTTTGGGCCGTTTCGGACCCCTTCCGAGACCTCTTCGAAGCAAGTTCTGCCGAAAACATGCAGAA